TTTCCCTATAGATGAGCTATAGTAGCTCTCCTGCAACCAAAAAAAAAATAAGTGTGCAGATTAAAGCTAATATGATTCCAATGGCCCAGGGAAAATATATGAAAGCAAGCAAGGAAGCAGAAAGAACTGTAGTCTGGGTCAGCTTTGTTGGGCAGTTGAAATCATGCCAGAACCTTGTGCCTGCATACTGCTTGTTATGTGAAAAAAGAAAATGCTATCCTTGCTTATCGAAGCCACAGTAAATTGGATAAAGACTCAAGCATTCCTAGCTGCTGCCATAGTATGTGAAAGAGCTGGAATAATCACTTATGTCATGAATCCCCTGGGCTAGGATGTGATCCACTTGATCCCACAGGTAGAGGAAGGTGACACAAAGTGACAGTGCTGCAGCATCAGTGGTAGAGGACACCACCTCTGCTTAGGCTCATCATATTTGAAGAGTGGAAGATTCCAAACAAAAAATAATGTTCTGGAGGACACTCCAGGGCATAGAGCTTATACCCAGGTATCCTGTCACAAGAGTCCTAGTCAACGCAGGGCTCTGCATGTAGGAAATACTCAGCAAACACTGGTGAGAGAAAAAACACATACATTTGGAAGCCAACAATGAAATCTGGTTTATGATTTGATTTGGTTATGTAAAAATGCTGGTGGATCAAAGTCAGCAATCAAATGGCTGAGTTCCAGTGTGTACCAGACAAGGGTGTTTGGCATTGTGAGGATGGAAGGGGACTGTTTCAAGAGAGATCATCTACACCTTCCATCTAGTCATTTAACTTTATGACAGGAAACAGGACATTTTACATTATATTTCTAATTTTGAGAATAGTAGTACAAAGGGAAATTAAAACTCTATCACTAAATGTACCTTCGAACCACTGTCAGAATAAAATAGAAGTCTCTGTGCACTATTTCTTAAGTTCCCGGGAGATTTGTGAGCCAATACCTTGTATAGATGTTGGATTTCAATTCCTTTCATCAAACCAGTAGGCTCTTCCTGAATGAACTTGCTTTTCAGAGCTTTCTCAGTATTTTCCACATCCAAGACTGATTTTGTAGAAGATGAAGATTCTCCATGCCAGTAGGAGGGCTAGTGAGGAAATCAACTTACATTAATATGTTTAGGTGAATTGACTTTCTTCTTCTGGAAGATAAAGATTTTGGTAAATTAAATTCTCCACAACTCCTCACACCCACCCAAGTTTCCTGTATCAGACATTTAATGGTGCCTGGAGAAGTCAAGCAACTTGCTCATGGACTTGCTCACTACAAATAAACTGCATTTCACCCTACAACCCATGGTCCCAAGGATGGAGCTACAAAAGATGCCTCATATCTATGCTACTGGTGTACTGAGGAAGCCATTGTGTTGGCAATTAGTGTCCCTGTGGGCTGAGGCCTGGGAAATACTGGAGTTAACAATCTACCCACTTCTCCACACTCCAAGATGGGCAAGCATGGCAGCCTTTACAGACCAAAGTGAGTACTGTGCAATTCAGACAGGATCAGTCACTTCATAAAACCATGGGGCAGGACCAGCAGAGGCTACTGCAAAACTGAATGAGGCATAACAAGCTCAACTTTGTAAGAAAAATTTAGTCATTGTAAGAGAGAAGTGATTCTGAGAACTTCATGGGGTTGTCAAAAAAAGCTGTGTCCCTTGCCAGTACCGTGGGTACGCTGAGGTCTCAAAGAGCTTCCAGGCCATTCTAACAGTCCAAAGGGGGAAGAGTAGGTGGAGTCGTGAGGGCTCCAGCGTGTTGCGGGTGGTGTCCTGTGGGAGAATATGGGGCTGACATTTGAGTGGGCACATGTAAGATACCCACAGACACTCTCGGGGGCCTCTGCATAGGGCATCGGCAGTGGTGCAAGAGTCAGAGAAACTGACACTTGCTGTTAATTATGCTCCCTTGGCAACCACTAGCTGATAGGTGTGAGGTGAAACCAGGTTAGAGAATCAGTTTAGATTTTCTAGAGTTTGTGATTTCAATTAGGACACAACCTAGAGGGGTAGAAATATTGATGACAAGCTATAAAAAGTCTAATGTCGATCTAAAAAACAGCAACATTAGTACTCACTGTGACAAAGAAGTACCAAGGCTTAGGTGTACCATACTCCCCTGGGAAGATCGACTCCACATACCAGGTCACCAAGGTGTACAGGAAAGAGTCCAGTAGTAGCATCAGCAGCACCTGAGTAAAGTTAAACTCTCCACTTACACTGCCTATGTTCTCCCAGCGGATGCCGGTTCCTGTTCCACAGGAAGGAAACAGTCACTACATGCCAGAGAAAAGTTACAAAAAGTATATTCTGATATTAATATGATGACATCTTTGTTTTATTTCTCAACTGCCTCAGAAATTAAGGAAGGAAAAGGGTGTTATTTACTGGGCCCCTTTGAAACGAAAAACAATCTAGTAAATGATATATTAATAAATCCATAAATGAGAGCCTTGAGTGACGAACCCAGCTAGCTGCTCCAATAGCATGCAGGTCCTGATTTTAAGAAGAGGCCAAAATGTGCCGGCCATACAATCACAAAGTGGGCCCATTAACCCCCAACTCAGAGCTCTGCTTCATGTTATAGATAGTGATTCCTGCTCAGGATTAGGACTGAAAGCTCTGCACTAGACTTACTGAGAAAATGTACAGGGAAATTTCATGAGCTTATTCACCTTAGGCCTGTCATCTGCTATAAGCAGATAGGTCAGATGAACAAGAGAATCCACTCCAGCAAAGGGATGAGGGTTCTAAATAAGAAATATTGTCCTTGGATTTCTAACATATCATCAATTATATCCTTAGAGATTCCTATCTGCTTACGATCATATGCATCTGCATTTCCTTCAGCTATAACAGTAGACACGGCTTTTGTGAGCTATCCCATGCTTTTTAGGAAGGAATTCTAATCATAAGCTCAATGGGGGCAGAATTCTTTCAAACCAAGAGAATCATCCAGTCCACCCGCTCACCCAAATTCTCTCGACTTTCAACAGATAGGCTCCATTAAGTCCCATATGCCATTTAAAATCTACTTTTTCCCTGTGACTATTTATAAATTATATGGTCTCATCATTACTTTGTTAAAGAAAACCACTTACTTTCAATGAATTCTGGATAATTTCCATCTTTCATAAAATTTTAAGCACCCTTAACCCATTTAGACTATCCATAGGGGATACCTCTGATGACATCACTGGAGATTATCCCAATCACAGTAAGGAAACCCACAAACTAGATCCAACTTATAACTCCTGCTCTTGGTTTAGCAGCAGATAGCTGCTAAACCAAGCTGTACCATTTGGAATAGAGCTCTGGTGATAAAAGTTAACATCAAATAAGTCAAAGGGATGTAATGTACAGCATAGGGAACAGAGTCAACAATATTGTAATAACTATGTTTGGTGACAGATGGTTACTAGACTTGCCATGGTGAACGGCTTCATAAGGTACATAAATGTCTAATTACTATGTTGTATATCTGAAACTCTGAAACTAATATGATATTGTATGTCAACTATAATTTAGAAATTGATTTTTAAAAAGCAAAATAAATAAAGAGCTAACACAAAGCAATGAAGGCACTTGCTAAAGTTTTTACAGCAGTTCATCTTAGTACCATTGAAATGTGAAACAGGTCCATTTAGTACGTACTAAAACCCCACAGAGCTCAGTGGTTCCTACATTTTAATTGATATTTTGGCTGCAATCTTCTGCAGTGACTGTAGGTGTTCTGAAGAAAGCTTCGAACTCCAGAAACATAAGACAAATGGAAACTTGGGGTTGTACTTACAACTGTGGAAGTTGTAAGGGAGCTAGAACACCTCTGATGGAAGGTCCCCTAGACCAGCCCCGGAGGCTATGAGAATACAACATGATGTATGTAAATAGCATTATGTTATCTGTAAAGTTCTAAAGTGTTATCTGAACTTCTAATCATAGATCTATATATTTCATATCTATATAATTATAAAGATATAAGCGTAGAATTTCCTAAATCATCGATATGCTTTAGTTTTTCTCGCAAATTACATTGTAAACAGTATGGTGTGAACCATATCCTATAATTCTTTAGTGTTCTCTATAGTACCTAACAGAGTTAGAAGTACATTGTTACAGTTCAGAGCACTGAATGAAATGTGCCACTTATGTGTATTTGGAAATGAAGGTCAGCTTTGTCTGTCAGCTATGGCAGCCTACCTTGGGTACCAGTAAGGCTCACCTTTTGTCTCAAATATGGAGATTAATCGGACTCCCAGTGCCATGGCAACATTTGAGAGAAGACAAAAGGCAATCTTTTGGGAGTGGCTCCTCTGAGTGTAGCTGAAAGCAAGGTACATGTATGGGAGATAGGTGAAGAAGAAGATGATGCCTCCTGAGGCAGTTGCGACATGGGCTGCAAATTCAGAGGGAAGAAATGAAAAGAGTTTCATCAATAATGCACAAAGAAGTATGCCACTAAGCTCCTACCCCCAGCCACAGCAAGGAAAGTGTCTCTGCCTTTGTTTCAGCATTTCAAAAGGGAAGCAATCTTTTAAGAAATTTTGATAGAAACCTGTCATAGTTCCACTTTCAATATCGAAAGACTGAGAGCATTTGTGGTACTTAAAAAATGAATCGATCCTTATATAAAGGCACAAATATCTAACTGCCTAACACTTCCTCTGTCTAAAACTACATTAATAATATCTCCTATGATAAAAATCTTGAAAGGTGAGTTACCACTTATCTTTTAAGATCGCGTAGCATCTAATAAGCATTGCCTGGTACTGTGGCGAGCACTTGATTCACAACATCTTTTTTAATCTTCATGACCTCCCTGTTTTACAGAGGAGGAAACCAAGGCTTAGCCACATTAAATAAATCTTCTGAATGTCATGGAGCTGGTAAATTATGAGTCAAGCATTCGAGGTTTTTCCAGGCTCTAAGCATAGTGGCTCCAGATTTAGAAATAAGGCCAATCTGACTGAAGCATAGGAGATGAACTCAAATTAAATGCAAACATTTGATCTTCAGGAAGGTAAGAGAATAAGGATTGAAAATGTAAGGATTGCATATATTAAAAATAGAGCTGCAGTGAAGGCATCAGGCAGCTGTTTGCTGAACCTGGCTACATAAACTACAGCTGACCTGGGTGTTCTGTAACGCCTGTGAATTTCAGTGTCTTCTTTTATAAAAGGTGATAATAATTGCTAACATTTACTAAGCTCTTACTATACACCAAGAATTGTTCTTAGCATTTTATATGTACTATCCCATTTAATCTTCATTATTAAGTTATGAGATAAGTACTATAATTTACCAATTTCACAGAAGCAGAAGTGAGTGCACAGTGTCTTGACTTGCTCATGGTCAGGGGCCACACTGAGATACAAAAACAGCACTCTGAGGCCAGAGTAACAGCTTTTGATCTCGGTAAGGAAGGGATGAAGTCTGATGTCCATTTGAGGAGGGGGCAGAAGTTTAAAACAGTTGTCTCAGAGAGATTGGGACGAATTTATAAGGGAATATAATTGGATTAAAAGGCAGTGCTCAGGGGACCCCACTTGAGAATTGGAGACCTAAATGAAAAGACCAGTGCACACGGTGGAAAGTTTTTCTCCAGCCAAGTTATGCTACTCAGATATAGGTGCAGAGTAGACAGGGAGCTGGGTTTAACCAGGGGTGAGGTTTTGCAATAAAAGTTCAATGGATAACTGATAGGCGTACATTAAGGAGTTATCAGAATAATGGACCATGGGATCTGAGCTGGGTAAAGCAGCAAGAGAGGCGCATGATGGGATGATGGATAGTGAAAAAGTTTTAGGGCCCGTAGATTAGAGGTCTTTGATGGGGGTCATAGAATTATTGAAGGAGGCAGGTACAGGAGGAAAGGAGCTTAAAAAAAGATAATGGGAGTCAAGAATGGAATGTTTGGGGATGAGATCTGGTTACCCTCAATTATCGGTAAAGCTAAGCTTTAGAGGATGACTATGGGAACACGAGGTCACTAATGTGACGTGGAGGAAAAGATCATTGAAAGGAATAGGTCAAGGATTTGAGAGAAGAGAGAGCTGGACCCCTAACAATGGTCGCAGCAGCAGTTAGTAGAGAGAATCATAGAGGGCCAGGAGCTTAAATTCTTCAACAAACAAGGGGAAGTAACTAGCAGCAACAGGTGATTTCAATAAAAAGTGAATAAAATTTTCACTTCAATGGGGCTGAGTTTCTTAGCAAGAGATGAAGAGGAATGATCTGGAGGAACATTGTGTGCTCATTAACATAGATTTATAAGTAATTTTATGCATTTGCCTTATAAATTACATAGGAAAAAAAGAGGAGCTACAAACCAAAAGTACAATAATACTGGCTTTAGTTTCCTTTACTAGTTATCTTTATTTCTTCTTATGGCTTCCAGTTACTGTCTGGTGTCTTTTCGTTTCAGCCTGAAATATTTCTTGTAGGGCAGGTGTACTGGTAATAAACTCTCTCAGCTTTTATCTGACAATGTCTTAATTTCGCCTTCATTCTTGAGGGATAGTTTTGCCAGATATAAAAGTCAGCTCTTAATTTTACTGAGGATCACTTGTATCTAAAGAGTCTCTTCTCTCTTGCTGCTTTCAAAATGCTCTCTTTGTCTTTGGGTTTTGACAATATGAATGGCTCTTGCAATGGATCTCTTTTTGAATTATCGGAGTTTACTGAGCTTCTTGGGTTTGTAAACTCATGTCTTTCATTAAATCTGGAGCGTTTTCAGCCATTAATTCTTCAAATATTTTTTTTGATTCTTTTCCCTCTCTTTTCATTCTGGGACTTCCATGAAGTGTAATTTAGCACACTTGATGGTGTCTTACAGGTACCCTCAAGTTCTGTTCCAAAAAAGAAAATTCCAGGACCATATGGCTTCACAGGTGAATTCTACTAAACATTTAAAGAGAAATTAACACCAATCCTTTTTAAAACTCTAGACATGGAGACCAATGGAATATAATAGTCCAGAAATAAACCTTCACATATATTGATTTTTAACGTGTGCCAAGACTAATCAGTGGAGGAAAGGACAGTCCCAATAAATGGTGCTGGGAAAACTGGATATCTGCCTGCAAAAGAATGAAGTTAGACCCTTGCCTTATACCATATACAAAAATTAACTCAAAATGGATTAAAGATCTAAATGTAAGAGCTAAAAGTATAAAACTCATAGAAGAAAAATTAGAGGGAGGATTTCATAACCTTGAATTTGGCAATGGCTTCTTAAATGTGACACCAAAAGCACAGGTGACAAAAGAAAAAAATAGATAAATTGGACTTCAACAAAATTAAAAACTTTTGTGCATCAAGGGACACTACCAACAGAGTAAAAAGACAACCCACAGAATAGGAGAAAATATTTATAAATCATATATCTGATAAGGGATTCATATCCAAAATACATTTAGAAAACTTACAACTCAATATCAACAAAGTAAACTGAGGTTAAAAAATGGGCAAAGGACTTGAATAGACATTTCTTCAAAGAAATTGGAACCATTTGTGTATTGCTGGTAGGAATGTAAAATGGTGCAATTACAGTCCTAGGTGTTTACTCAAAGGAATTCAAAACAGGGACTCAAACAGATACTTGTACATGAATGTTCACAACAACATTATTCACAATAGCCCAAAGCTGTTCATCAAAAGATGAATGGATAACAAAATGTGGCATATCCATACAATGAAATATTATTCAGCCATCATAAAGAATGAAGTGAGGTAGGAGTCCAAGTGGTTAGCCATTCATCCCAGCACTCTTTGATGAAGAGACTATTCTTTCCCCATTGAATGGTCTTGGCACCCCTGTCAAAAATCAACTGGCCATTAGATGTATGGGTTTAATTCTAGATTCTCAATTCCATTCCATTGGTCTTTACGTCTATCCTTATGCCAGTACCATACTGTTTTGGTCCCTGTCAGTTTGCAACCAGTTTGCAATCGAGAAGTGTGAGTCTTTCAATTTTGTTCTTCTTTTTCAAAATAGTTTGGGCTTTGTGAGGCCCCTTGTAATTCCATGTGAATTTTAGGATTAGCTTGTTCATTTATGAGAAAAAGTCAGCTGGAATTTTAATAGGGATTTAATTGACTCTATAGATCAATTTGGGAAGTATTGCCATCTTAACAATATTCAGTCTTCCAATCCATGTGCATGAGATGTCTATCCACTGATATAAGTCTTCTTTGATTTCTTTCAGCAATGTTTTGTAGTTTTCAATGCACAAGTTTTTTATCTCCTTGGTCAGATTTATTCCTAGGTATTTTACTTTGGATGCTGTTTTAAATGAAATTGTTTTCTTGAGTTCCTTTTCAGAATGTTCACAACTGATTTTCATGTGTTGACCTTGTATCCTGAAAATGTGCTATATTTGTTTAATAGCTCTAATAGTCCCTTTTGTGGATTGCTTGGGATTTTCTACATATAAGATGGTGTCATCTTTGAATAGTTTTACTTCTTCCTCTCCAATTGCATGCCTTTTTATTTTTTCTTTCCTAATTATTCTGGCTTGAACTTCCAGTAGAATGTTGAATAGCAGAGTGAAAAGTGGGCATCCCTGTCTTGTTCCTGATCTTAGGGGGAAAGTTTTCAATCTTTCACCACTGAATATGACGTCATCTGTGAGGTGTTCATAAATGTTCATGATCAGGTTGAGGAAGTTTCTTTCTATTCTGGTTTTTAAAATGTTTTTATCATAAAAGGTATTAGATTTGGCAAATGCTTTTTCAGAATCAATTGACCAATAAAATTGTGTTTATTTTTTCATTCATTCTATTAAGTGGTATATTACATTGAATGCTTTTCATATGTTGAATCATTCATGCATTCCTGGAATAAATCTCACTTGGTATAGTGTGTAATCCTTTTAATATACTGATAGATTTCTTTGCTAATATTTTGTTGAGGAGTTTCCCATCTATATTTATAGCTTCATTGTGATGTATTTATGGTTTTGGCAATCAGGTAATGCTTGCCTATAAAATGAATTAGGAATATTTGTGTTTTTATTTTTGAGTTGTAAACTTTTTTTTTTTTTTTAATTCCAGGTATAAGTCTTTTATGTTATATATTATTTGAAGATGTTTTCGCCCAGTCCATGGGTTGTATTTTCACTTTCTTGATGGTATCTTTTGAAACACAAAAGTTTTTAATATTGATGAAGCCCAACGTATCACTCTTCTCTTTTATCACTTGTGCTTTTGGTGTCATATCTAAGAAATCTCTGTCTAACCCTAAGATTTACTAAGGGTTACTCCCTAAGATTTACTAAGGGTTACTCCTGTAGATCACTGAGGAGTCACTAAGATTTACTCCTGTATTTTCTTTAAAGAGTTTTGTAGTTTTAGCTCTACATTTAGGTTTATAATCTACTTTGAGTTAATTTTTGTATTTGATGTGATATAGAGATCCAACTTTATTCTTTTGCAATGTGGATATACAGTTGTTCCAGCTCTAGTTGTTGAAAAGTCTATTCCTTGCCTATTGAATTGTCTTGGCCTCTTTGTTAAAAACCAATTGATCATGAACTTTGAGTTGTGTGGGATATTTTTGCTTTCACGTGGCATTCTTTCCTGCTTTTTTCTTCCCACTCTGGTCTTGATTTATTGTATTTATGACCTAATTGTTTTTGTCTCTTGATCCAGCCCTCTGCTTATTTCTTGTACTTGACTGCAAGTTCAACTTTTTAGGTTTCAACCTGTAGCACCCCTTTAACCTTAGGTTTCAGGCATTCTTCGATACTCATACTCCAAACTCCCCATATAACTCTCTTACTTGATCATCGCCCCTGCCATATCCACCTTAAAGCTATATGCAAAAGTGGGAAATTAAATTTAGAGTTTGAATCAGGAGATAGTGTTCAGGCCTATTCAGCCTCTCAAAAAAATCCATCCTCACATTGGTAGTCAGTATTTGCCAGGGCCTATATATTAGAGCATACTATTTGATGTAAAATATTCACAAATATAAATAATAAACTACCTAGCTTCATTTATACTATACTTTTATTTTTGTCCAAGTTCTCTTAAACCCTCTTTTTTTTTTTTTTTTTTTTGGTCACCAACTGTTGGGACCTGTCCTCTATCAAAGTTTCTACCTACACTTCTCTAGGTTTAATCACAATTCAATTCTCTTGCATGCTGACTTTGACTCCACTTATTATTTTTGCCCCTTGTGGTTCATCAATTCTACCAATAGTCCTGACAGAATCAAATTCCCAGAAATTCCTCTTTTAGTATGGTGTCTTAGAAGCTACACAACTGTTATGCCCCTACTTTACAATCAAGACGTGGAAAACTATCTGCCCTGGATGTCATAGCTCTCATTTCCTTCCAAATTGGGACTTGACATTTGCATCCATTGGAAATGATATTAGGAGCCAAATGAAGCATAAAAACATACATATATGGAGATGTTTCCATAAATCTTTAATGGGGAATAGAATTATTCCATTGCTAAAATAACCATAAAAGTAAAAACTTGACTCTGGAGAAATAATAATTAATGCCTTAGGTAATGGGAATAGCAATGCTACAAGGAAAAGAAGTCATAAACACACTCCCTGAGAGGAAATTGTATCAGGACTCACCTTTTTGGAAGAATGTGCTGATCATGAATGCAAAGAAAATTGTGGCAATGGCAAAACACATTAGAAAAACAAATATCAAACTAGGGTCACTGTTCGTGAACACTGCCACATTTTTTATCTACAAAACAATCAGAGATGCACATGATTGTTACATGGAAAGAATGAGGAAAAGGCATAAATACTCCTGAACAGTACATGAATAAAAAAAAAAAGATTATCTTAAACTAAACATATACATAGATTTTTAAGGCCAGTATCTATTATCATTTACAAATTATGCTCTGCACATGCATCTTTTTAAAGGAAAGCATAAGTTTGAATTCAATTTTTGATTCAATGTGAATTTTTTTTGCTTTAATAAGAGAGTTTATCCCATTTATCATGATCACTATTACAGATTACTATTTTTTTTTTTGATATCTTATGTTTCCACTTTTTAATGTTTTCTGGCCATTTTCTTTGTTTCATATATTTTATATAGTCTGAATTTTCTTGCCTTCCTTTGTCCAAGTGGTAATTAAGAAGGTAAATTTTCATATATCCACATAATGGTTATAATTTAGTTATTAAACTCAAGTTAGCAAATTGGAGCACCAAATGCCATTGACAGCATAAAAGGAAAACAAACAAGATATTATAAAAGAGTTTATATTTTACAACAACTATTTTCAACTATTTGTAGAAAACAAAATTTATAATATTTTGAAGTTTATAAAACACATATTTTGGAATTCCATTTTCCTAATGAAATTTACCACATCCATGTCCAGTACTTGAAGACGAGGCACCACAGGGAAGGCAACGCATTCCTGGATCCTAAAGTTTAAATGCTTAATCCCCCAAAGTTTTAGCAAATAGCACCACACATCAACTTGAGGTTCTCCAAGCATTCATCAATAGTGTGTTTTCATCATCTATTGAATCTCAGCACTACCACCAAATTTCTCTTACACCTCTTCATAGCTTAGCACATCCTTAAGGACAATAGACACGTACCTCTGTGCAGAAGAGAATGGTCATGAAAGAAACAACAATTAAAGCAGAAATGAAGAACATAATGAACCAAGCAACCCAGTGTTGCCAGTTGCGCAGTCCAATCATACACATATACTCCTAGGAAAAGCAAAAGAACCAGACATTACACAGGCTAATGCTCAGTTCCAACAGGTCTGGTTTAGCTGTCTGTTACTGAAACCCCAGCAGAATGGCAGGAAGGGTCATGTGTGTGTCTTGGAGAGAGGTGGCTAGTGAGGATGATGAAGACTAAATGAGTTGAAAAGAGACCTACAAACCAGGGAGTGGCATTTATCTGGTTTAGACATGGTAGAGATAGGCCTTGTGTTAAAATTATTCTTTTAAAATGGTAAGCATACTGTTAGTTCATTCATTTATTGCACACCTACTATAAATGAAGGGCTCCTATGGCCCCACGGATAGAATACGATGATATGGCCTTGGCATCCTATGCTCTGATTGCACAAAGCTTCCTGCAATTCACTGAACACGCCTGACCCCTATGTCTTTTTTTTTCTCTTTTCATACATGTTGTTTCAACTCATTCTTCTCTCATCCTCTCTATAGCGAAATCCTACTTGATTTTCAAAACCTAGTCCAGAATCGACTGCTCTGTGAAGCCTTCTCTGGTCAGCTTGCCCATCCTCTACAAAGCCATAACATCTGTACATTCCCATACCTTAATACTTGGGATTCTTCTTAACATTTGGCTTTATTGCTGTGAATTGCCTGAGGGAAAGGATTGTGTCATTTATATCTGTATCCCTAATGTATGTTTCTGGTAAATGTAAGTCACTCAGTAAATGTTTGATAAGTGAATAAATGCAAAGCACTGTGCTAAGTACATGCAGGAAAAGTGAAAAATATAAAAAGCAGAGCTACCGCCTTCCAAAGTCTACAATCTAGTATTGGAAATACATACATAATAATAACCCTGTAGATTCTACACTTAAAGTATAGAAAAGAGCCCTTTTATCTTTTAAGATTAGAACTAGTAGTGGATCGATGAATCAAAAACAAGTTGCTTAAAGCAGGGGAATCATAAAAATTATATACATTTAACTTAAAATTTTATTTTTACTTATAACATATAAATGCATATGTGCTGGTATCTTCAAGTCAGAACACAAATTCTTCTTTTGAAGCTTCGGCCTGCTCATTGGAGCACTAACATAACACCCACCATAAAGTTCACTCCTGGATCACAATCTTGAAAATGAACTGAGGACATAAATACAAGGTGTGAAGCAAACTAGTACAGACTCTGACCAGGTTAATTTATTTCCCCAAATTTTGCAGTGGTTTCACCCACATGAAATTTATTAATGTTTTTTAAAGAGCAGCCTTACTGAATCTTTCCAAAACATTCAACTAAACTTTCAAAGCCAACTTCATTCCATTCTACTCATTTACATAATATTTAATTAAATCACAAATTATTAGAACAAGTGCAGGTATAAGAGATTTAGAAACAAGCCTTGATAAGCCTATAGCTCAGCAGGTGATAAGCCCCTGTGTACTAGAGAGAAGCCTACCAGCTGCCTCGTGCTGGGAGCTCTAATCAGAAAGCTTTACAGAGGTGATGGAGTGTTAGTTAATGCGAGAACTGATTATATGGAGATCAGTTAAGAAAACTCCATCTGTAATATAATAGAGATGGAAACAACATGCTATGAGAAGATGAGATGAAAGACTAATGAAATTTAGAAAGGATTCCTGAAGAAGATGAACTGCAATATGAATTTTGAAGTAGAGGGTACTCCAAACAGAGGGGCCCGCCTATAGGAGGAATCGTACAGTTAGCATCTATTTGGGGAATAGAAAGGAACTTATTCAACTAGAGCAAAGGGCTTATGCCAGGTGGGAGAGATAATCCAAGAGTCTTCTAAATTAAAGACAATTCATTTTAATCCTTCTTAAGCCATTTACATAGCAAAACTAGATTAACACCAGCTAATCTAAGAAGGGACTAGCTCTGAGAATACTGTGGTGATCTGTGTTCAAAAAAGTGACACTAGTTGCTCTTCCCTCCCCCCCATTCTCCCCACCTTGGTCCCAGAGACAAATTCGGACATGGCATTCTCCCTCATGGGACAGATGCCATACTAATGACTCCTCCTGGAATATAACTTACCTACTCCTGGGTCCTTAGGCTATCATCTGAATAGAGAGATGAAGCCAGTTCCATCTATACTATCAGCCTCCAGGGCTACAGGCTTTTTAGTACTCCCCAGTGAGCTACCTTTTCCAGACAATTCACCTAGCAGAAATAGAGCACGTTTCTCTGACATATTTCATTTCAGAGTCTACTTGGAAAAACTGAAGTTTAATTATTAGAAATCTGTTTTACTTTGCTTAGGGAGAGATATTCTTATCTGAGAATGAAAACTATTTTTTATTGCTAGGTCATACTGCTCCGTATAAAGTTATCTTAAAATTATTAATCTCTTTGTGCCTTAGGTTACCTCCTCTGCTACATAAGAATAATAGTAGTCGTTATCTCATAGAATTGTGTATCATTCGGGGTCCCAAAAGAAAATAGATGTTACATTCAAATTAGAATAATTGGAGGAGGGTTTGTTTTTAACAGACCTAATTACGAATGGCTGCATGAGGACAGGAAACCCTATAGCAGTACTTCTCAACCTTTTTGGTACCAGAAATCTGTTCTCCTATGAGAATCTAATGCCTGATGATCTGAGGTGGAGCTGAGGCAGTGATGCTAGTGCTGGGGAGTAGCTGCAAATACAGATGAAGCTTAGCTCACCAGCCACTCACCTCCTGCTGTGTAGCCAGTTCCTCATAGGCCACAGATCTTACTTGTCTGCAGCCTGGGGGTTGGGGGCTCCTGCCCTATAGCACAGTTCAGAAATCTAGGGCTTGTAGCAACAGAATTTTTACCACTCTTGGGCTCAAAGAGATAAGAAGGAAGAGAAGTTACTAGAACCCAGAAGGGGAAATAGTTTTATGGAGCAAGATATCTTGAGAGGACAGTGACCTTCTGCCAGGCTCCCACAAGTGGGAGCATATTTTGGAATGCCTACAGGTCAGCCTTCAGGGCAGAGAAGAAGGTAAAAAATGGTGAAGAGCGAATCCAAACACATAGGATTTCAGTGCAAGCTGTTAGGAGAGTGAAATGAATCAGTGCTTCAGAGAATGCCTAGTACATGGAAAGTATCATATACCAGATACATGTTCTATTAAATCAATCCATGATGACACGTTTTATGTCATTTTGTTTTGGTTGGATTTTGTTTCTTGAGCTATTCTAAATATTTTCTTTTCTTTTAAAAGGAGAGGTAATCCATTTACATTTATTATTGTAACTGCCATGTTTGGTCTTCTGCTATCTCGTTTAATATTATACCTTCTGTATGCTTTTTCATGATTTACTTTGCTTTTGTCTTTCGGTATATGGACTATATTTTCTTTCTTTTTATTTTTTCCAGAGTTTTAAAAGTTGTGTCCTACTTTTAAATAGTATTGGTGGTTATTTTTAAGTTTTCAAAAGTGTTCTTTAACCTACTTTCGTCTAAAGAACATACTTAGGCATGAAATAGGAAACAGATGGCCAATTCAATGACCTGAGTGTAAACATTTGATGCCTTCAACAATTTATTGCTGAAACAATTTAACAGGGAAGGGAAAACTCTCTCCTACACCAGAGAACAAAAAGGGGATTCCAACAACATACCAGAAGGTTCTAGTTTCCCTGTGTTTTTTTTCAGTTGGTGCAGAGTTAGCCTGTTGTCTCACTATCATCTACTACAGCAGAAAGCAGTTCCCCACCTTATTAAAGTACTTCCCTGTCATTTAAAATTTTTTTAATTTAAAAAATAAAAATTAATTAATTAATCTAATTTTAAAAATAAAAAATAATAACTAAATAAATAACTAAATAACTAAATAAATAAATAAATGAAAGAAATGCTTCCACAGGCAGCCCCACAAGACAATATCGGTTCAACCATTCCTGACAACTGATACACAGAGCAAACCAGACATCATTGGTGAGGCATTCATTTTGGATGATTTCCCCCTTGGTTAGTCATTGCACAGGCACTTTCTGATCACCTACCACGTGCAAGCCAGTGTGTTAGCAAAGCAGGAACCATTAGGCTGGTCATACCCAAACTAAAAGTAGGGACTCAAGTAGTAACAATACATGGCATTGCCTAAGTTGCAATTGGATTAGAACGACGAAAGAACATCCAAGTTCCAACTCACCTTGGAGGTTGCTCTGATACCCAAGCGACCTCTTACCTACCTTGGCCTCATTCCTACTCTAGTCATTTTTCATTAGCAGCTTCCATACATT